TTACCGACCTGATTGTATCGTACCCCATCAACTCCAGTTAAAGTTCAATTAAGTGGTTATGCTTATTTTTAAAACTGGTGAAGTTCTCCTTTTTAAAGCGTACATACAATTCTTGTTATTAAGGGGCGGTTAAGGTATACAATAAAGCCCGTGTAAAGCATCCTTTAACTCTAACTACCCCGAACAACGCGCACTATTCTAGATGAACTTACTTAAAGCTCAATAGTCTACATACGGACCACGTAGTTCAAGCCCGCGTCTAAAATGATACTTGAGCTTTCATTAGTATATCGTCTAACGAAGATTTACCAGAAACGTTTTCGGATAAACATAACCACTGTTGCATAAGTATTTCATAGTTTACAAAATTCAATTTTTTAATCTATATAAGAGTTAACCCTCTAATTGCTCAATAATCACTCTGTGTCACCCAGCTGTAACCAAATCTAAGTCCCAGTCTGATACCACTAAGAATATACCCATTCTTTAGTTTGCTGTTTGGAGGAAAAAACCCGCAGATAGTTATCAGACCTACTGTAAATATTATTCTTCTTGCAAAAGCCAAACTGTTTTATGAGAACTGCATACTTGAGCGCACTTTCATATTCCATAAGTATTTTGTCGCAGCATGCCCAATCACTCAAGGTATTTGCATATTAATGATAACGGCTGCACATTTAGGCAAGATACCATAGAATAAGTGAACAAGTGTAACAACCATTCAGTAAAAATGATATTACACTCATGCGGGCTTTGCTAGGACGATGGAATAAGCCCTCACGAAGACAGTAATGTTATCTAATGAAATAAATTCCGAGAAGTAGGCACCAATCTAAATTTTCCTTCCCAACTACCCACGCTTGCAGCTACCGCTAGCCCCAGTTTAATAAAGGACAGCATCAAAAATGCAATGGACAAAGTCTGACTAATACGGAATGAAAGTCGAGGTATAAACTAGAACATTGTCTTCTCCAGCAAATGGAAAAATGGGGTAAATGGTAAAATACAGGACGCCTTGAAGCAGTATTTACAAATCAGCTTCTTTGAATCTTTTTGTCCTGCAACACATAGTTCTCTTAGATAGCCCGTCAAGCCTTCGTACACAATTTTATGCTCAATAACTTCACGATTTTTCACACCTTTCGTCTTTTTGTCGCATATACGTAAACTCGGTGTTTAAAAAATTAAACCGAAAAATGCGTGTGTTTCAAAGGTGATAAAAGTATGGCGGTGTTTTGCTTTATGAACACGAACAACTATTCTTAATCCCAACACAGGTCTCCAAGCATGTGAGGTAAAATAAAGTGGTGAGTGATGAGTTTGATAATTTAAAAAATGCTGGATTGGGAGGTTGAATAAAAAAGGTTTAACACACCTTGCCGATAAATAAAGAGAACGTACAGTTTGGGTTTACAGTTCAATATATCACACCAGGTTTTGGATTCACAATGAAGGAGCAGCTGAGGAGAAAATGACATGGATGGGTAAAAAATATTACTGTCTGAAGTCCACCCCGTTTAACTACTTCGCCGAAGTGGCCTCTAGAAGGTTGAATAATGTAGATAAAGACTGTCCTTTCACCAGGGACAAGGTATTCGTGACTGGGTTGCTTTAGCTATTGATACAGCGAATGTCAGTCATGAACTGGGATAGGTAAACTAAGTGACGTGTTTCTCTCAGGACATATATTTCGGGAGGTGTACTAAAGACGCGTGACAAATGTCGTAGACAGTAAACTTGATAAAAAGGCCTTCTTTCAAAATATACTGGAAATATGTCACAGCGGAATGGGATTGGTAATTATGTGCCTAATGTGGTGCAGTGTTTGACTTGATTGTAGATTACAGACAATTAGCTTTACCGTGTGTAACCTGCTATAATACAGTTCCTACAGTTTTCTGCAGCGCTTCAGCTACAAGACTCAAACGTATGTATTGTTTATTGGGCACGAAATCAAACATCGTCAATTTAGCTCATAGTATGCTAATTATGCCAGATAAACTGAATAGTGTTTTTGCAGCAGTCCATTAACTAATCGTTAAGCAAACTCATCATTAGCTCAACTTACGTTTTTAGCGAAGCGTTTTGTCTACATCTTCAGCTGGATAGCAACCTCAGTCGACTGATCGTTGAGAGACATTAGTTGGTTTCTGTTCAACTAAAATTATATCTGATGAGAACAGTCGTCCCAAAACGTTTTGTATCTCGTTGATACATTATACTGTATGAGGTATTCCCGCCAGTAACCGACAGCGTTGTCATCTTGTGAAATGCGGGATTTTACACCATTGTGAGCAGCAAATAATTACTTTTCTTAAAGGTTCAAGGGATATTTTGCAGTCAGTTGAACGATTTTACGTTTTACATCTATTTTTCTATTTGTTTCCCACCTGAGACCAGTTGAACCTGAAAACCGGCAGATTGACTGTTGACGATGAGGACTAAAACTAGTTGCGATCTCAACGACTGACACTGATTCTGGTTAAAAGGATGGAGAGCGTAGGTTAGACTACCCGAGCTGGTTTTCCAACGGACATTTTGACCAGATACACGAAAAGGTAAGCTCTAGCCTCTGAGATATGCCCCAATGAGCAGCAAAATGGAGAAAAACAGAGATATATTCACCCATATAACTCGCCATACCAAGAGTGGGTCGTTCATACAAGGAGTACAGAGGATTTCGACCTACTACCAGCAAACTCAGTGAAAGATGGTCATACAGTGGTGGTGAGTGACCGGTCCAGACGATCGATAGAAGCTCATACTAAAGCCGGTTACAACACAGACTCGATTGTGCGTGGAGTCTTTTGCAGCGTTTTGATTTGTTCTTGAATACAGCTTAAAGTGATCACGGATAAAAGTACTATCTCGGAGAACCAACAATTTCAGTAAATGTTAAAATTCTCTGGAAATCAGAGATAACCAGTATTCCCTTACTGTCTACAAGCGAACTGTCTGGCGGAGTGAATTGATCACACAAAAAACAGTAAGTGGTAAGGAAAACTATCCGAAGTATTGTTTCACTGGCGCATCGCAACGTCTGCAACAAGGCAGAGTTGACCGTTTGAGCTTGTGCACAGTAAACTTTTGCTTGACTTCGGTTTATCAATGGAAAATTGCTAACACTTAGAACAGCAAACATAAGACAGGATCGAAATTAACCAACACAAGTCCTTCGGCATGCAGAAAAAAAGGGCTTGCGTTCAACGTTAGGTTCATGTAAAATTAGGATACTCTAGTAGGTCGTCACCCACAAGCCCGAATGCACGCAAGTTTAAAAGAGGATCAAACGGACGCTTTGCATCCATGTTAAGCAGGGATATAAGCTTGTAAGTAAGTAATGGTTATCATAACCGATGTATTCCAAACCTACGGCTGACACTATGTCAAAGTCAGAAAAAGTTCTTCAAAGAAGTAGCAAGTACGATAGGTGAACAGGTGGAGGACGTTGTCATTCTGGACTTCACTGAAATACCTTAACACAGCTTATACACAAGTATTAAAGATTTTAGTGGTGGATTCATTAATAAGAGAGCCAGAACGATCCTTCGTTGCAAGGAACGTTACCAAACGAATGAGAGTTAGTGAGCACTAGTTTGCAACTAAAACACCAGCCAAAGGGACGGCAACGGAAAGAAATGCTTGGAGTTTTTAACGGGAAACTACACTGTATTACTGACTCAAATTTCAGTTCATAAGCGTAAACACGCAGTCGGTAGAGGAACATAAGAATCGGACTAGTCTTGCTTTTTGACCCCCTTCCAAATGTTAAAAAAGATTTTGGCACTCTGTTCAATGGAGTAGGTTTACCGCATATCAACTTTCTTCTTGTTTATTTGTACAAATGTTGAAGCTTCCTTCTCACTGTTGTAATGTATGCCGCAACTTGTCTATTTGATTTTTCCCATTTTTCTGCACCACGGAAAGTGTGACATTGTTCAATCAATTTTCGTGTTGTTTTGTTGTAAGTGCTTGGTGGCCGTACAAAGTTTAACGCGTTGTATTCTATGCCAAAATGATTTAGTGAACTTTTAATTACTTGTACAATGTTCAGGAATCGGAATAACAGGTGGAGGAAATTCCGCTCCAGCTATGTCACTCATGTGAACACGTTAGGGCGATGCATAAAGAATAACGCATCAAGATGCCGGTAGAAAATGGTTTTTCTTCAATTCGTTTTGGCCAATGGATTGAATGTGACACTCACATTTCGACTCGCCTGCTTCTGTCAGTCGCAAGCACACCAACGAGACGTTGACTATTCGCCAACAAGAGCAGATCACATTGTTTGGACAACTGGACTATGATAATGGCTGATATAGTTGGATTTGAATGATGTGAATCAGACAGTGTCACAACACCACATGACTTTCAGAAGGCAGAAGAAGATACAAATAACAAGGCTACTGGGGGATTGCTATTATATACTGCAATATTGATCAGTCATATCCGAAACAAGTTAGAGATATGAAACCGGAGTTAAAGTATCCTTTTGTCATCAAGTCATCAGGTCAGCCACGAAACCGACATGTCTCCTGCTTAGTGATCCTTTCATAAGTGCTCTAGGACACTCCAGCTGGTAGGTGCAAGGGTGTTTTACTCACACTGTGCTTACCTTAAAAAATGCGATTAAAATGCAGCAGTAAGAATACTGTGTTCGAGAAAACAAAATTGAAACTCTTTCTACTACCAGATTTGCATACTTCACATAGTTTGGATGACAACTCATAATGTATCGTTCACTCATGATATTTGTGCAGTTTTGGGTTGCATTTCAAAAAAGACACGCACGCTGGCGTTCAGTTGAATTAGTACTGATTACTTCAATACAGCCATCACAAATGACAAAATAATTTCGCAGAGACTGATGGTACCCGTCTAACATGCTTTTGACAGCACGAACTTTTGGATTTTTTGAAAGGTAATTAACTCCTAACTTAGTACTAATAAGTATTTTGGCAGATTTATGATTTCAGATGAGACCCAACTGTGAAAAGTCAAGGCTTCGGCTGAATTCGAACCAGCGATGACTCAACGTGGCAAGCGCTCTACCAGCTAAGCTACAAAGCCACGCCAGGAGCTCGGAAATTTCCTAAAGTAGTACCCAGATGATAAAGTAACAAATGAAATGGTGTATGTATATCAGGTAGCTATCAGCTGTTACGAATAAATGAACGATGTTTTAGTCCAAACGCAACTCGTGGAAGCGAGCGGAAATTAAACGCAATAAAGACCATATTGATGATTAATAGAGGATATAAGTTGAAATATATTCACAGCTGATTGCCGTTTTTTGATTCACGCCTACTGCATTGCCGGATCATTTTGAATTACTGCAATGTACCCAAGTTTCGCACTTCTCAGAGTTCGTCAGACGCCTTGCACAATGAACTGCGATACCTGTAGTCGGTGCTACGTTCGAATATCTTTTATTTTGCAGCAAATGAGCTGCGCTAAAACATGGCGACACTGTAACAGAACACGTAACCATGACCAATCGGAGAGAAATTTCACCGTTAGCCTACAAAATGGATGATGTGATGGAACAAATCGGTCGACGACTTTGATCAATACTTAGTCAAAAATTCTATACAGCCTCCTTCATGATGCTTTACTCAACCAGCCAAGGACCATTCCCTTCGGTAAACAGGTCACTTCCTCCATGTGCCAAATCTCTCAGTATTTACCGGTTTCACTGTGGGTGCCCAGCTACCCTCGAGAACAAAATGGAACGGCATGTGTGCAGTCGAAAAGCCAAATCTTCTTCAACTTGGGTTGACACTGAGATAAAACAGACTCTAACAACTGGTATGGAATAATCAGTACAGCGCAATCAGACAGTCTAATCGATTAAAAGTCACCAGTTGACCTCTGGACACAAGGTCAAGATGCTTTCAAAGTAATTTACATAGCTAACAGTCTACAACTACTTCAGTTCGCCGAGATCGTTGTCATTCCCAGATAGCAAAAATTCCTTTGTCAAAAGAAGGACATCGTCATTAGTCCGAAATTGCCGTGGCCAGTGAACGACCTAATTACTCGTGTATGAGTGTGTGAATTCTGTGGGTAGTTGTATGTGGTATCTTCATTAACCTTGTTTGACTCTACACCAACACTACGGTATGTACTTGATGAGATGCAGATAAATTTGCCAGGAAGTGCACCGTGCGGTCTGCTGTTATCAAATTCCTTTTACATACTTATTGAGGGGTAAGTGTTCTGGAGTAACTAAGTGCGTATCCACCATAACTTGGTAGTTACTAGAAATGGAGAAAATAGTAAGTACTCATCTGGTCAGTAAGACCAAACAAACTTGTCGGATCACATGATTTACTGTTGACTGAGTGATTGTCTCCCTGTTTGATAGGCTACTGAATCAAGTAATATGGAAATTAGGGTTGTCCAACTTCATCAAAATAACTAACCCAATTGTGATACGCAAACTTCATCTTAGTCAGACAAATCACCTTTCCCGGCAAGTTATCAGAAATGAAAGTCAGTGAGTGAACATACTTGTGAATACTAATAAGTCAGAGGTTGTTGTACTTGTGTGCCCAAACGCACATACGTTATAACTCCCTTTAAAGTTGTACGACAGTATAACCAACGATTGCAAGCGATTGTGACCAGCAGTTTAGATAGAATAAATCGGTCATGTTAACTGTGAGTTCATCGACGCAGTAGTCATCCCGATTGACAATTAATGCATTAGACCACAGTTAAGATCGCGGCCGCGGTAAAAAATGGGCAATAGTAACAAACACTAACAAGAACGATAATCGGGTATAATGCCTCCTTTTTAAATGGGCAAGTTAAAATTCTGACGGAGTGCGAAACCCATCACCTTAGGTGAATAATTTTAAATTTGTACATTTATCTTCAACGTACTTAAAAGAAAGGGACAGTGGAAAATATTGGGTGAGATTTGTTTCAGCTTTCAAAACACAGTCTTTTGCTCACCAAATAACTAATTAACTAAACGAAGTCTGTCTGTCACCTGTAATCCCCATCTCTATGCCCATCTTGAAAAGTTTTTCTTTGAATCAGCAACGGTGTCAACACAGGTACTTTCCATATTCATGTTTTAACTTAAGGAATTCTGGAAATAAAGAGCTTACGGTGCAATCCGAATCTCCTTCTTGTTTGCTCTTAATATCACTATCACGAGCTGCGCGTTGACCTGGTAGTCTGGGTCCACGCATTGATGCTAAAACTGTGATCTCATTTTGTCCAGTTAGCATGTTACATTTATATGTCCTAACGGCATATTTTAGTGACAAGTGTTATGCCTAAGGTTCTTCAACCACAAGGCGTTTGTGGTAACTAGATTCAGTGCACCCCATATAAATATGTGTATGTCAACACGACAACAACCGTGTATCCCTCTGAAACCGTTTTGCATTTTTGTTTCAGATTAGACAAAGCCGTCAGCTAGTAATCACGCCGTTATTTTGTCGGGAAGCGTATTCTCATAACTTAACGTTGGCACTACTGCAGCGCACTTACAACAGACTTTCAGATTTAGTGGACAACAGACTACTCTTCGAATGCTTCCGGCGACTGAAAGCGAGATTTGCCCACAACTTGTCTTGAACGACAAACTTTAAGAAATCCGATGTTATATCCATGTCGACAAAACGACAATGCTTGAAACTGAACATTTCAGTCTGTTTTGCAAATGCAAATATATGCCTGAAATTCATGGTCTAGTTTTTTGCTGGGCGTTAATCATGTGAGCGTAGAGAATCTTCAAAATGACGTCACGTTCTAGATAATGGGTTTCTGACTCGGGTATAAAGTACTTTATTAGTACATAACGTAAAATATGATGTTGGGTCCACCCGTGGCGGTTTCTGTGAATGTTTTCACTATCGGTATTAAATTACGAGTTACGGAATGATAATACAGGCAATTTTGTAAAAACGTTAAAGTACAAGTTGTTATTTGATCGCGACTGCAGTTTTATGCGTTAATTCTCCCGGACTTTCAAGACTGTGATTAATTTCAGGAGATGCATCCCTATTTTCGATTCATGAAATACCATTAACTAGCACCAATTGGCGCTGTGTGACAGTACATACACAATTGAGTACGCATTCCCGAGATTACAGTGTAAGCCAATATAAACTTCCCTGTAGTGAACAGTAAAACTTTCATGTTATTCCCACACATGGAGATTGTTGCGCAGGCCCCTAGATGTCGTTCAGACTAAAACTGGTAAGCGGCTGTAGTGAGTATCGTCTACCAGCAGTCAATGAGGAAACGACAGAGTGCTGGTTCACATTATAGCATATCGGGTCATTATTTTAGTAGACAACAAGATTCAGTGATTGGACACATCACCAGACTTATTAGTAAATGAAGCGGCTAACTTCAAAGTAAATGTTACAACTTACCAAATTTTTTAAAAACGATCACCGCGTACAATGTTTGCATATCGATCCATCTGACGGACTAGAGCTGATAACAAGCCGTTCAATCCATTACCGTACTTTTTCCCACACTTACTTAGCCCATACAGATGTGTTGTATTTGGTGTGGTAACTAATCACCGAAAACAAGCTTGTTTGCTGCACGTTCATCTAAGAACTAGATCTTGCCATTCAGTTATAACCAAATGAGTAGTAAATGGGTTCATTGCTAAACAAACATACGCTTTGGTTCAAAGTTCTGTTTCCTCAAATGATCAGGTTATACTTAGTAAGACTGTCTGACAATATCCACCACATACGTGACGCTGAATAACATGAAACCAGGAGTAAATCAGTTGGGACTCTTTATGTGGCTTTCGTATGTAACTTCAAATGTTGGTTACCCACGCAGTGATAACTGGACATGTCTAATCGACATTAAGATCATAGTTTATAGTTTATTTCACACCTTCTTCTTGGTTGCTGGTATGATATATAAAACTGGTACTGCTCCAGCACTGCTACTACAGAAAGCATATCAGCGATGTGCTCCCGACGACCTGGGCAGGAAGAGGTAGGTTACAGCTAAACATTTTAACTGCTTCCTGTGGTTTGTTTCTGTTGGCCCACAAAACCGTTATGTCTTTTACCTGAGGGATATGGCTAATAAAGACACCGACGAGTTAAAGTGGGAACAAGCATTCTCCAATTTACTACTCAATGCCCATTATGCATTTTACTGTCAGCTGTGTCGGAAAATGATGTTGTTCCATGTTTGTCTAGGGCTCAGCAGTGAAAAAAACATCTATGGTATACATCAGTTGTAATGAAGCATAAACATAAATTACTTGAATATTGTCCATCTTTTATTTTTCAGTTTAAAAATCGCTTATTTTGCTTGCATTGTTTGTTCTTGAGCCACTCCTACTCAAATAGTCCAAGATAATTCAAACCGACTGTACTGGATAATTCTATTTATTCCAAATACCATAGTAAAACTCTTCAAGGAGTTTTATTTACAAATGCTGCTCAGTCTAAAATCCGCATCTAACTTTTAGATCCTGTCCACCAAGTCATCGCGTAACTGATCAGTTTTGATGCAAACATGGATACTGATTTCAGTTATCCAGGACTACCCAAGAATTCTCCGGAATCAAAAAGCAGTTTATCCCGTCTACATCACCATGATGGCCAACAGTGCAACAACTGTGCTCCTGTTGCACCTGACCTGATTAACTCCTCCAGTTCGCAGCACATAACTTTGTCTCATCGAGATACCTTGGTGAATTATGGACGTATACCCTTAGTGTTGTTTTTCTTAGCCTATATAGTAATGGTTTTCCTGGCTGGATTTTGCTTCCACAAACTCGAACTCCCGACTGAACAGCTCGAACGCTCACGGCTACATGCAGCACAGATTGTGTTTTTAAAAACACACCATTGCGTGACCGGTATGTTGTCATATTGATTTGCCGTTTTCCTATTGTACTTTTTCCTGCTCAATGCAAGAAACGCTATAAATTTAACGAAGAACCTCCAAACTTTACATATTTTTATTCTTTACAAATGTTTACTGTAATATTTTATGCCAAACTGTAAGACTGCGTGAAGGCAAATTTCCGGAATTTAGGCATCACTTCATAACACTGTGTAACAACG